AACATTCGTAACTCAGGGACTACCTGTAAACCCCCCCCAAGTGTCTCAGCCTAACTTAAGCTTCTTTTCCGTGTTGAAGGCATGCTTAATCATCCATTTCAGAAACTGATTTGTAACATTTAATCAAGAGCATTGTAAGGACCTGCCCAGCTGGTCCCTTAGGAAAGTAAAACTCTTGACTCTATTGAGATTAATCAAAAGAACTTTTATTGAGATAAAGTGGATGCAGAAAAATCAGGCAGAATCTGAAAGTCCTGCGCGAAGCACAAAGCAATTCTTTTGTCTTCCCAAACCCAGCCCGCCTGTCCAGTCCACCAGCAGCCAGTTGTGATGCCGCAGGGTTGTTTTGAGAACACTGAGGTGCTGGGTAGATAACAGTTCACCCTCAGGGCACGACAGCCTTGGAACCAGGCTGGAACCCTCTGAGAAGGAGTCTGCTTCATCTCCTAAGATATTTCCCCTCCCTAATTCCCAAGCGGTTACAGCAAAAGTGAATGCATGTGAAGAATGCCAGCAACTTTCCTCCTCCCCTCCAACTGAATGGCAGGACACTAGCACAGTGAACCTGGCAAACATCCTCAGCTTTCACAAGGATGCAAGTGGCATTCAGAGTTGCTCTCTCTTTAGTGTTTTCTAAGATATTTCAATGGATCTTGGAAAGCTTTATTTTATTTATACTTAATATAAGTTTTAAGTATTAGATGCCTACATAATTTTTTAAATGCTCAAGATGCTGATATACAGGCCTATCTTCTATACTGATCTTCTTTTTAAATGTATTCACATCAGATGATAAGACAGATTAAATAAGGAATCTTCATGTTACAATTCTACCTCTTAGCTTCTTGCAATAAAGGAATCTTGCTTCCAATGATAAAGTAGGCAGATAAATCTCCTACAAGGGTACAGTTATGCATCTGGAAAATGAGTTTTCGAATACAAGTGGAGGTAATCCTTGACTTACAACAGTTCATTTAGTGATGATTCAAAGTTAAACGGCAGTGTAAAAAGTGATTTATGATCATTGTTACACTCAGCAACCATTGTGGCATCTTCATGTCCTGTGATAAAATTCAGGTGCTTGGCAAGTGACTCATATTTATGATGATTGCAGTGACTTGGGGTCATGCGATCACCTTGTCCGCCCTTCCCCATTGACAAGCAAAGTCAATGGGGAAACCAAATTAGTTTAACAACTGTGTTACTAACTTAATGGCAGTGATTCACTTAACAACTGTGGCAAGAAAAGTAGTAAAATGGGGCAAAACTCACTTAACAAATGTCTTACTTAGCAACAGAAATTTTGGGCTTAATTGTGGTCATAAGTTGAGGACTACCTATAATAGCCTTCAACAGTAAGACACTGTTATAGAAAGCCGTGTTCCCCGTAGATGATGATGATGATGGTGATGATGATGATGATAATAGAGTTGGAAGGGACCTTGGAGGTCTTCTAGTCCAACCCCCTGCTCAGGCAGGAAACCCTACACCATTTCAGACAAATGGTTGTCCAGTCTCTTCTTAAAAACTTCCAGTGTTGGAGCACCCACAATTCTGGAGTGAAGTTGTTCCACTGATTAATTGTTCTAACTGTCAGGAAATTTCTCCTTAGTTCTAGGTTGTTTCTCTCCTTAGTTTCCATCCATTGCTTCTTATTCTGTCCTCAAATGCTTTGGAGAATAGCTTGACTTCCTCTTCTTTGTGGCAACCCCTGAGATATTGGACCAACCAAGCTAACCAAGTATTATTCTGAAAGTTCATAATCTTTTCCTCTTTGAACTTCTATTGCAACGGTCTCTTTAATTTTGCTGAGGACCACTCATTCCTCTATCTGAGCTTATAGTAGTAGTAGTAGTAGTAATAATAATAATAATAATAATGATGATGATGATGTTGGAAGGGACCTTGGAGGTCATCTAGTCCAACCCCCTGCTCAGGGAGGAAACCCTATACCAGTGATGGCGAACCTTTTAGAGACTGAGTGCCCAAAATGCAGCCCAAAACCCACTTATGTATTGTTGGGTGCCGGGTGGGCGTGGCCCATTGGGTGGGTGTGGCTGCGGTGGTAACGGCAGACTGGGTGGGACTAAAAAGTTCAATCAATCAATTCCAACTTTGCAAGATCTTTTTTTTCCCGTGAGAAGTTAAAATTGATTGATTGATTGAACTTTTTTTTTTTGCACACGGTGGCGGAGGCCCAAAGCGAAAAGGTTTTATAAAATCCAGCTGAAGGCCTAGGACTGGAGCGCCGGTGCGCGTGCCGGTGCCCATGCCATAGGTTCGCCACCATGGCCCTATACCATTTCAGACAAATGGTTATCCAGTGTCTTCTTAAAAACTTCCAGTGTTGGAGCATTCACCGCTTCTGGAGGCAGGTTGATATTATCTTGTGCAGAACTAGATCATATCCTTGTCATCATGGAAGCCAGGAGTTCATTTTAGTTCTGCTTTAGTGGTGGGACTGCCTCAAGTGATTCTGACAAAAATAATAGAATGTGGGAAATTAGTTTCTGATAAATGTGTGTGTGCTTGTATGTGTGTATGCATGAAACAATTTTATATATTTAAATAGACACAGACATTCAGAAGNCAGAAGGTTAAGAGAAGTTTGGAGGAAAAAAAACTAGTTTTGTAGAATAATAGATTAAAAAATAAAAAAACAATAACAGATTAGAAACCCATGAATGAATGAATACATTTAGATTTGCATATTTTGGAACATTATTTACAAGATACTGCTCAGAATTTGTAATAATAACTATTATCAGAGACAATTTAATACTAATTTGAGAAACTGTTTCTGAAACTTGGCAATTTTAAAATATATGGATTTTCAACTCCCAGAACTCCCCAACCTTCATGATGAACTAGAGAACTTCTGTGTTCTGGTGAATTGAATCATAGGAAAAAAATCTTGGCATACATAGGAAAAAATCATGCTTAGAATCCTAAAGTCCTTTGTCTCCAAAAAAAAGAATAAAATACAAATAACAAGGAATAATTAATTATCTTAATGTTTATATAAATAAACACACACTGTGACTTCTACAATATAGTTGTAGCATTGTCCAACCTAAGGCTTTCCTGTGATATTTTGCCATAATTACTCTACCCCCTTCCATATCCACGCAACTAGAAATATTTCAAAGTAAAGTCTGGCTCATTGCCACGTGCTATATTTATTTTCTAAGAAATATGCTGGGTTCCTGGGAGGCCCAGAGGGTTATGTGGAATTAAAATGGCAGGTTGCTGGAGGCCAGCTCTTGAGGTTGAAAGCTCTTGTTGCTCCTAACTAAGAAGTGGCTTTGCAGGCACATACACGCAGAGACAAACTGAGTGTAGCTTCCAAAAGAATTGTGTGGGCCTAGTAAATAAAATTGTTGCTTTAATTAATTAAAAAGAGTCATGTGTTTCTACATGTTGGAAACATCTCTTTTGAATGATTTCCTCAGCCTTGGACATAGCTTTATGTGAAGGTGATTTTTTGCACATTTTGCCTTTGGTTGAGGATATTAATATATTCCTAATTCACTAGTTTTCATATTGATTGTAGCCATAGGTGCCTTTCTCGAGTTGAGAATTATGCGCCAATTTTACTTATTCCTGATGCAGTCTTTTTTCATACTGTTACTATACAACTATTAATTTGACTATGATTTGATTATTGTAAAATTTTCTGCAGGCAGCTGAGCCTCTAAAATCACTGAGAATATTAAACCAATTGATTATTGTCTGTATAGTAATTTAAGGTGACGTAGTTTATTTTTCTGGTAGAAGTTGCTGAGCAATTAATGGTTGCTCAAGATAATAGTTTCCAAGTCAAATTGTGCAATTTAAAGGATGTGTTAGTTCCAACAAATATATAAAATCCATCTAAGGTCTCACAGCTATCTTTTAAAGACTAATAGAACTAAACAGAAAATTAAAGGGAACAAATGTGTAAAGTATAGACCAGAAGAAAACAAAATAGAATCTCACAATAGAGTTTACTCACTAATATCATTTTTTAAAATTATGGATTGCTGAATAAGCACAATTAGCAAGGTACTTATAACTTTTGTTTACACTTATGATCTTTGCGGCATCCCCATCATCACATGACCAAAATTCAGATGCTTGGCAACTGGTATGTATTTATGATGGTTGCAGTCTCCTGGGCTCAGCTGAACACCTTTTGTGACCCTCTGACAAGCAAAGTCAATGGGGAAGCAACATTAACAACCATGTTACTGACATAACAACTGCAGTGATTCACTTAACAACTATGGCAAGAAAGATCATAAAATGGGGCAAAATTCACTTAACAACTGTCTTGCTTAGCAATAGAAATTTTGGGGTCAATTGTAGTCATACGTTGAGGACTACCTGTATAACTAGATTAATATTTTAAGCTAAAACTAAATGAACATATCTTATGTTGTGAACTTAGTGTATTAATTGTTCCCTATTATTACTAGCTGAAACAATTCAAGAATATCACAAGTTATCTACTCAGAAAGATGCATTTATGTATCTTTCTAAGGCAGAGGTCCACAACCTCTGGAGGTTGGCGGTTCAGCTGGAGGGGAGAGGGGAACTGGGCAGTGCGAGTGGTGGGTTGACGTGCATATGTGCAATTGCCTGCCGCCCCCCGCTCACACAAGTTGAGCTGCGTGCATGCGTGCGTGTTCCAGCCAGCCACTCGTGCAGTCCAATTCCAAATAGAGAGTGGGGATTCCTAAGGTACAATATAATTCCAGTTTTTTGCTGTAATCAACTAACATGCTTCCCTAAAATGTATCTGAAGATCTCATAATATTCTGTCTAAAGGCTATGCAAATATTGTTTTCTCATTCACAGTAGGAATTTTTTTAACTATCACCAAAATTTTGGAGATAATAATATCTCACTTAGAACTTGTTAATTCCATGGGATAGTTGAAAGTTATATTTAATACTTCATAATTCAAATAGATTTTACCATGGCTCAGTTTGGTAAATAATCACCATAAACTACTTCTCTTCACTTTTATATGGTAGAATTTATTATACAGTTCCATGGTCTTTTCAATACCTTTGAATAAAATAATAAAATATTAAAGTCAATGATGTTAATATTGATACTAGTAACATAGAAAGAAAACAATTTATTGTATAATAAGGAAACCTATTAGGTCTTTATTATAACACCTTCTTTTCCTACAACATTGAATAATACAAAGATTTTTTTTAATCCAAACAGATGAAATATTTTTCTAATTTGATAATATAAATTTCAGGAAACAATGGCTTACAGATTAAAAATAGTGTTTAAAATTCACAAGTTTTAAATTCAATATAACCTCTTATATTTGTAGAAACAAGAAGAATATTTATAGCTTAAACATTCTATTTTCTAAATCTGTCAACACCATTTATATGGTAGATTCAGTGTCCAGTACTCTTGCTTTTAAGGCTTGGAATCTAACTTGAATATCAGAAACTTGAGTTTCAGGAAATCTCTGTTTTCTAGTTGATGAACTTTTCATTTTTATTGAATTTTGAATACTGCTTGAAATAAAATAATATACTATAGGGTCAAAACAACAGTTTGAAACAGCAATACACAGAGTGATTGGATACATAACTCTAACAGCAGTAACAACTGAACAATTAATCCAGGCTTGTGTTCTCATGAGGGCATAAAAAATTAGGGTGATGTTATACGGAACAAAGCAGAAACAGAAAATCAGTAAGTGAACGAGTATCATTCGTAGAACTTTTTTTTTACTTAATTTATTCCTGGTCATTGTAATCGGCTTATTTAATGTCCTTATAACTATTGCAGAGCATGTCACATTCAGTATGAGAGGAATAAAAAAGCCTACTGTTTCGATGAAAATAATAATTCTTGAAAGATAAGTTTTCCAAGTTTTTTCAGAAAAGTGTTCAAAACATGTATTGTGTGTCCATCCTTCAGAACTAACACGAGCATTGGTGGATTGAAAGAAGCTTGCTGGTATACTTCCTATTGTCACAATTATCCAAATTATAATGCAGATGATCTTTGCATTTCTTTTTGTTCTGATTGTCTTTGACTGAAATGGATATACAATTGCTAAAAAACGGTCAACGCTGATACTGGTTAAAAACAAAATGCTCCCATACATGTTTGTATAAAATAGTGTGACAGAAATCTTGCATAGTACATCTCCAAATGGCCAGTCTTTTGATGCAAAAGAGTAAATCCTGAATGGTAATGTAAACACAAAAAGGAGATCTGATATTGCTAAATTAAGCATGTAAGTTGTAGTTTCATTTCTGATTTTTAGTGTCCAAGTAAAGATGTAAATAGCAACACAGTTTGATATTAAACCAAGGACAAATACCATACTAAACACATAGCCATATAAAGTATATTTAAATGAGTCTTGAATAGTACAATTGGAATTTGCCACCATAATGACAATTATTTATAATTACAGAATTTCTCAGTAAGCCTGTACCTTTGTTATAGTTGTGCTAAATCCTCGGTTGGTTTATAAATCTAGTCTTTCCCTTCACTTGGGTCCACATTATTTGAAATTTTCATAGTTCAGTAAGTCACAGTTCTACTTATCAGTATGTCATTCCTTTCTTCCAAAAATATTAGTAGTTCATGTTCACAAATCTAGGCAGTAGTAAATTTCAGAAATAAGGAACATCATCCTTTAAATTAATTAAAATCCAAAATCTAATTTCTTCAAATGTTGAGATTGCTCTTTCCCATTCACTGGAAAAATACAGCAAATAAAAAAAAATTACAAATAAATCCCATGAAAACTTAAGTAACTTTGAAACTTCTGGGAAAATAGAGGTTGAGGTTTCATCACTGTGTTGCAGTTTTCAGTCTTCTTGTTGTTGAACTGTACGATGGAATAAAATTCCGAAGCATGTCCTTTCTTGCTGAATTTCAGCTCTCTCCTTAGATGTTACTCTGCTATTATGCATTTCTGTCTACAGAGAAGATTAAACAAAAAGCCCTACCCATGCTTACTTAACTTATATGATAACATCACAGGAAGAAGGGGCTGAGCTACAAAAGGTTTCAGTTTTCAATTCTGCTTTAAGGGGTTTAGTTGAAAAGATTTTAGCCACAAATATTTGTATTGGAAAGTATGTAAATAACTCAGTATAATAATCAAAACTTCCTTAACTCTTAAAGTCTTTGCTACACTGAACTTATTTTAGAGACACTTGAACTTTATCTATTAGTCTTAAACATAAAAGTGTTTTTCTATAGTAAACTTAATGCATGCACATTATTTAAAGCTTATTGTTAAGGGCATGTTCGCCACATTCATGCAGTGAAGTAATACTTTGGGAAGTAAAGGCAATGCTTCAACTTTTTTTTGTAGCGTGAATTCCCCATAGGTTTAGGGTTAATCTACTATAGATTAAACTTTATAAGGACAGTTAGGCTGAAAAATAGGCAGGTGCTAGTTTAAAGTGGAACGAACCTCTGTGTGTACTTTACTCCATTATCCAGTTTTGTCATTCTCTTTAATACATTGCTGCAACTTAGTCCTAGCATTTAAGCAGTTTTTCCTAAAATGTAAATGGGAAACAGACTCACTTCTCATAACATGATTGCCAATATGATACATATTCCTTGGAGGAAGCAAGTAAGCTTTTTAAATAACCTATTAGTTACAATAACCTAATTATTTTACCATTGCCAAATAAAATGTATTTTGTACACACTTTGCTAAACATGTTTAATGGCTGTACGTGCGTCTCCTTGGAAAAATATAGTACAAACAAGTCTTTGAAGTCGAGAAAGTCCTCTCTTGTGGCTATTCACCCTGTTTCATTGGGTGGTGACTCCTCAGATGATCAAAGTTTTCGGTGGGTCCTCTTCAAACTGAATGATGTCACAGTCCTTTAAGGTTTGTCAGTAAGGATGAGCCAAGATTTAGTAATTCCATACTTGAATTCAGCCTATTGGCTTCTCAAGACAGAACATTTTCCCTTACTGTAAATTCAGGAATAGAATTTGAGACATTCAGAACCTTGGCTACAGCCAAATAGACTTTTGTAGCCAGTGCTAAAGGCAGGTCTTTACAGCCTAAGAGTTTTCAGTAGGAACATATTGTGCTAAGCCTTAATGTGTTGAGGTACATGACTTGCTAAATCACAAGCCCTGATCTATAGCTACAATGATTGGCTATATACTGCATACTCAGCCAAAACTTTACAAGCTGGTTAATGATTTGGATGAATCCAAATCTTGTTCGGGTTGATAATCTTTGCATTATGTATGAAGGTTGCTGTCCTGCACTTAGACAGAGCTTGTTCTTATAACATTAAACAAGAATGTCCATACAGCCATCTTAACCCTTCAAGCACAAAAACACATGAAGAACTCTAGACTGAAATTCATGACATCACTGAAGATGAGGCCAATAAGAAAAATCCACAATAGAAAAAGAAATACAAATTGGATTTAAAATTGTTGGAACAATCATCTTTACCCTGAAATATTTTGATAATACCACTTAATGGCTTTTAAAATATGAAAGTAGTGCTACTGCTACTGCTACTCAAGATTAAAAAAACCTTCAAGATGTCAAAAAACAATGCCAACCCAAGGCAAATAGGCAGACAATTAATTGAAGTAGTAATAGATTTTACTAGGCTTGAGAATGGTGACTGTAGCTATAATGTAAAGAAAAGTCTATTACTTGAGAAAAACGAAAAAAGTTCTAAACAAAGTATTGTTGTAGAGATATCATGCAAACAGCAAAGGCACATATTGTTAAGGCTATGTTTTTCCAAATTTTATCATATGACTATGAAACCTAGCTCATCAGACAAACTGAATGAAGAAAAATTGGTGCCTTTACATTGAGGTCTTGGAGAAAATTGTTGAGAAACACTGGAATTGCAAGTAAAGTAGATTATTCCAAATGAAGTAAAACCAGACTGCTGCCTAATTATGTTTTGGATCCATAATATGAAAGGAAGAGCTATTGCAGAAAACCCTGATGCCTGAAAAAAAAAGGAAGACAGTATAAGAAAAATGGAAGACATAGCAGACAAAGCTGGCAAGAACTCAACTGTGTTGGATTATATATCATATGTCAATCATCTATTTATGGAGCCTTGTTATTTTTTTCAAGCATGTTAAGGCATAGATTTTCAACATTAACTAATGTTACAAAAAAGTTAGTTTGATCATCTTAATTTCTCATAACTAATAAGTGTTAGTATGTCATATTAGGCAAAGAAAAATGATACTTTTTGCCTTTTAAAACACTACCTCCAGAAGTCAGAGAGAAACTCTATAAATAAGAATATTTTTGCTTGATGCTGTGTATTTATAGATTTTTCAAAACATTTTTATTTTTTTGCAATAAACTATTGTATTTTCTGAGCTGGCATTTCTTGTTGATTCAAATGAGCTTTAGAGTTGAGCTATTTTGAAACCAGTCTTTATTTCACAAAATCCTTAATTTCTTAATGTTTCGCCTTGATTTCCTATACATATATATGTAGCTAAATGTAGGATGCTTAATGCTGTGGGACAGAATGTAATATATTTAACTTTATGTACAAATGTGATTATCTAAATATTTTCCCTAGATAAAAGTGAAAGAAGGTGCAAAGTCCTAGGTGTAGGGTGTGGTTTTGCTTAGTAATATTCCTTTAAAATTCAGCTCTATAGTGCTGGATTATCTGGGCAGATCAAGTGAATTTATATGAATTTTATGGCATTTTACTTCTTGTATGGTCATTCAGAAAATATGACAATAGCTTATTGAACGTACATTGGATGGAAAGAATTCTTGTTAGATTTTAACAGTGTTTTGTAAATTTGTCTTTGATCATAAATACTATAAATATGCATGTATTACTACTTTAAAATCCATTTATGAAACTTATAGCCAAATACCACTTAGTGGTAGAATTTATCTTACTTAGAAGAATTGATATGGCATTTTCTGTAAATATACTATTATCTTTTAAAACTTATGGGGAAATGCTGAAAACAATGTGTAAATGAATTCACAAAAAAAATTCACACTAGTCTTTAGGTAAAAGTAGATGGGGTTCCCCCCCTTCAGAAAAGTAATACCTTTGTACCTGTTTTATTTGGGTGCTGCTTTTTACTGTTTCCTTATTATATTTAAAATTTTCTAGACAAAGACTCAAGATAATCCAGTTTGCCTACCTTGATAACTACACTGTGGGCACAATTATTAGGCAAGTTGTATTCTGAAAGATTAATTTTTTTATTGAACAACTACAATGCTCTTGGTCAATCCAAAATATTAATAAACCTAAAACCTGAATATTTAAGAAAGTAAAAGTGAGGTTTTGGCTTTCTTAGGAGAATATCTATGTGTGCAGAATTATTGGGCAACCATTAGTGTGCAGAATTATTATGCAACTAAATGAAAAATGAAAATTTGCTCATCTCACTTGTTTATTTGTATTTCTTAAAATGGGAATAATAAACAACCAATTCAAAATGTACAAATAAACATTTGTGACATTTCAAAAAAAAAATCAGTGACCAATATAGCCACCCTTCTTTTCAATAACAGTCATAAGGCTTCCATTCATGGAATGCGTCAGTTTTCTTGATCTGTTGATGATCAACTTGGCGGTGGCAAATCCCCTGCCAGGAGTGCCTCTCATTCCCAGTGAATATTGAGACTTGGCTGAAGTGTTCAGCAAGATGGAATGTGACATCCTACCCCTCCCCCCCATAGAATCACTGATTGTGCTATTGAGATTCTGCCAGGAGCTAAATTGCCAAAGCCAAAGATGTATGCAATGACCCCCCCCCCTCAAAGTGGAAGAATTGAGGGTATACATTGATAAAAATTTGGTGAGGGGTTTTATTGAACCTGCAAAATCCAAAGTGGCTGCCCCTGTGCTTTTTAAAGAGAAAAAAGATGGATTGCTTAGACTCTGATTTTAAAGGTCTGAGTGCTGTTAGCGTGGAGAATATGTACCCTCTCCCCTTAATGAAGGACATGTTAGCCCACCTGGCGAAAGGACGAATTTTTATCAAATTAGACCTAAGAGAGGCATATTATCACATGAGAATAAGAAAAGGTGATGAATGGAAAACTGCCTTCAATAGCCCCCTGGGTAGTTATCAGTTTAAAGTCATGCCTTTTGGATTACAAGGAGCTTCTGCTGTGTTCATGCAGCTGATCAACCAGGTGCTGCATGATCATTTATATAAAGGGGTTTTGGTGTATCTTGATGACATCTTAATCTATACAGAGACTATGGCAGAACATACAGTTTTAGTATGAGAAATACTAAAGAAACTGCTGAACGCTAAACTCTATCCCAAACTCTCAAAGTGTGAGTTCCATCAGGCACGTTTGGATTATCTGGGTTACAGAATCTCCAGCGAAGGCATTGAAATGGATCCAGCTGAAGTAAAAGCAGTGATTGAATGGAGCCCCCACAAACTCTGAAACAGCTCCAAAGTTTTTTGGGATTTGCTAATTTCTACCTCCAATTTATCCCTTCATTTGCTGAGATTGCTTTGCCCCTTACAGAACTATTAAAAACTGGCAAGGATGGGGGTAAACCACGATCAGGTCAATCCTATACTGGTCGTTAGAGTGCCAAACGCTTTTGAAAATTTAAAAAGACTGTTTGCTGCAGAACCAATTTTCAAACACCCTCATCCTGAGGAGCAATTTGTTGTTCAAGCTGATGTCAGCGATGTGGCTGTGGGGGAAGTGCTGTTACAAAAAAAAACATGAAGAAAATTTACAATCCTGCACTTACACTTCAAAAAACTCACTGACACAGAGCAGAGGTGGGCCATTTGGAAGAAAGAAGCCTTTGCAATCAGATGGGCTTTATTGACTTGGCGTCATTTCCTAGAGGGGTTCAAGGTGCCTTTTGAAGTATGGACTGATTACAAAAACTTAGAGGCACTGAAAACTCCCCGTAAACTGTCTCCCAAACAAATACACTGGGCGCAATATTTAATCTTTTTAACTTTACCCTAAAATACATACCGGGTGAAAAGAATTTCTTAGCTGATGCCCTCTCCAGACTGCCTTAATATAAAAGCCAACATGAACAAGTCATAGATTCTATTATGCCACCACCTCAAGTTATTTCTCAAATAACCCCTAGAAAACAATGACACGTGAAGTCCTCTAACCCAGACGACCCATTGACAAAGAAATTAAAGCAAGAACTGAAAAATGACAAATGGCTCAAAAAAAATCAAACCATCCTAAATGGGCTAGCTTGGAAAGGGGGGAAATTATATTTGCTTGAATCGCTCAGACTCCAAGCACTCCAATGCAGTCATGACATTAAACAAGCTGGTCACTTTGGCTATTTAAAGATACTACACTTAGTTTGGAGGCAATTTTGGTAGCCAGGCTTAAAGAAAGATGTGGAGAGCTATGTAAAAAGCTGTGCAGTCTGTGCTACCACGAAGAGGATCCCAGGAAAGCCCCCTGGGCTGTTACAGCCTGTTGCAGATCCTTCTCAACTATGGGAAGAGATCGCTATGGACTTTATTGCTGAATTATCGGAGAGTAAAGGAAATACGGTAATATGGACTGTTATTGACCTTTTTTCAAAGCAAGCTCACTTTATAGCATGCTTTGGCCTCCCATCTGCCCAGAAAATAGCCAGGTTATTTCTCAAGCATGTTTACCGATTGCACAGCACACCAAAAGGAATAATTTCTGACAGGAGTTCAATTTACGGCCAGATTTTGGAGGGATTTCCTCAAGCTGATTGGGTCTACACAAGGACTCTCATCAGCTTTTCATCCCTCTACGAATGGAGTGGCTGAAAAAGTGAACACAATGGTGGAGCAGTATCTTAGAAGCTACATAGATTACCAGCAGACAAATTGGACTGATCTCCTCAGTCAGCAGCACCGGACTTACGCCGTTCAAAGAGCCTCTGGAAGGGATTTTATTCCGATGCCTGAATACCCCCAGGACCCCCCTACCTCTCAAACATTAGATCAATGGGTATCTGCTTGGAGAGGTGTTTGGGAGAATACAAAAAAAGCTTTAACAAAAGCCTCAGAGGTTTACAAAAAAACAGGCTGATAAGAAAAGAGCACCTCAGAAGTCATTCCGGGTGGGGGGAAAGGTTTATCTTTTTACAAAGTAACTAAGACTTAAGTTACCTAGCAAAAAATTGGGGTCAAAATACATGGAACCATTTCCCATAGTGCAGATTTTGAACCCAGTCACTGTAGAATTAAAACTCCTCGTCTTTTAGGAAAGATCCACCCAGTGTTTCACTGCAGTCTGTTAAAACCTTTTAGAGAATCAACTCTGAGACCTCCTCCTAAGAAAGCACCTGGCCCGCTTGTGGTGGCTGGAGAGACTCATTATGAAGTAAAGCGTATTCTTGATGCTAGATTATACAAGGGTAAATTGCAATATTTAG